GGTCTGAAAAGTCGCTAAATATAGCGACAAAGTCGCTGAGTTGGCAACACTGCGCACCTGCGGTGCTGACTCCCTCTGCCGTAATTTTTTTTCTTCCCCCGTTTCAGTCAAGTGGCAGTGATGACGGCGGCGGCGGATGACGCATTAATCGCGCGACACAACTAATCAATGATGAAATTCGTTGCCAATGCTTTTAAAAGTCGATTTTTATCGATTCGTTGTTGCAGCACTAGTTGAATCATAAACTTACATTCCAGGTCTTAAAAAATCCAGCAGCATCTTCACGCAGGAAGATGGGAAGTGCCTGCAGAGCAATTGTGCGTCTGCTGTTAACATCAACGTCTTCCTAGAAGACAGAGGGATTGTGGGTAATGGGAAGACAGAATTGCAGAATAAGCAGAATATTAACCATATGCATATATTAAATAATACTATAGTACAAATTGTCATGAGGTAGGAAATGTTACATACAAGGAGATCATAGGTCCTGAAGATGTTTCTTAGCAATTCAGAAGTTTTGCCAGTGCGGGCCGCTTTCTCACGGTACATCGTCATTAGCCATGGCATGTACTTATCAAATGCAGAATAAAATGTACTCTTTAAATTTATATTTGTTATTCGATGGAATTCTGCACAAATCTGAAAACGCAAAAAGAAAATTGGTCACAATGACATTAAGTTATATATTGCTGCAGCATGGCATCACTACCCATAGGTCAAATTATGCTAAAATCGTTGCACTTCCTCACAACTGGATGTGTGTGTTAGACCACTTCCTGAGGGGTGGCTACACTGCTAAATATTATTGGCTGTAGAGCATGTCCGATTTTGATAACGGAAACTGCTACAGGTATCTTTAGTGAGGATAAGTCTGTTTCTTTAAAGCAACATTAAAGCACTTTTATTTGTTTATCCAGCACCTACTTTGCAAACAACAATGTCCACAGATAGGGTAGAGTATGTTGCATGATTTTATGAAAGTATAATGTATTGCGACATCGAAGCAAATAATCAAATTAGTAGTTTCTTACGTCTGATGAGTGCCACTAAGATATTCTCATTAGAGAGCAGTAGCCAAACTTAGATATTGTATTTCCATGGCCTAGTTTACCAGACAGGATGTTTACATAAATCTGTTTTAAGGCTTATTTGCACAGATAAGATTTTTTAGGTATGGAGGAACAGCTCTCCCATGTATAAAAATAAATACATACATGCTCAATAAATAAATAAGCATTCAATTAATTACCCCCCAAAATACAATGAATAATTATGTGGGTAGAAGTTAAATTATACAGTGAGACATAAATGTATATCTCTTAATTAGCTTCTTTATTTTTTCACCTTCTTTAAACAGTTTCATTTGTTACTTGAATCGACTGTTTAATTAAGGTCTGAAGAAGTTTTCTCTAAGGGAGACCCTAAAGAAATAAGATGTCTTTTGTAGGGTTTTGTTTTCCCTAGAGATGTCCATTGAATGCAAACTCACAGCCATGTCTCCATGTGTAGAACACTACACAGTACCTTTCATTTGGTTCTAATAACAGCAGATTGTTTACTAGTTTATCTATTAGTAATTACTTTAGTTTTTTTTATTATGCTGATCATAAAACAATGTTTACACTGTGTTATGTCATTGGCTGATCTTTAATAAATATTTTAACCAGTGCATCAGACTCATTTTGAATTGATATTAGGTTGGTAAAACGTTAAGTAGCTTCTGATGTAGTTAAGCTACTTTAACACATTAGTGTAACTTAGCTTGCTATAATTCTTTAGGTGGTAGCTTTTGTGTAGTGAAGCTTCATTTATTGTTGAGTAACTGATAGCTTAGCTCACTACACTGGACATGTAGCTTGCCCAACACTGCCTATCAGAATCAGACACATTGACAGTGATCATGCTAAGCTAGGCTATTGTCGGCAAGTTTGGATACAACTTGGCTTCCTATCATAGACTCAAGTTATGAAACATTGCTTCGGCGTCTGGCTGGCTATAACTTTCGCGGCCAAAGTAGTAGGCTTAACACCAGAAACGGATGATAAAAGATATTTGGTAGTGCTAAAACCATACGGTTTGTCTGTTTTCCACTAAAGTAGCGCAAAAGGCTAGCTGGCTCACAGCTGAGACAACGAACTTTAGTTAACTCGCAAAAACAGCTGAGGTCTGCCCGCTGGAAGACGACAAACAAATAAATAAACAAAGTAGCCTACAAGCGCGTTCTTACCTTTTGTGCAGAATCAGAGGCTACGGTTTGCAGCCTGATGTTGTTGATGATCTCCTCACTGTTGTTGCCTGCCTACTGTACATTACATTCACCACAATCGATCATAGACTAGTTCTACGGAACTCCGAATGATTCATAATTAAATAAATTAAAAACTTTATGACATAAATACCATTTTGATAAATAATACACAAATATATTAAAGAATAAAAATATATATTTCATAATAACATTACCTTGTTTTTATTTCATGACCATATTATATATTTGTTTGTTATTTATCAAAATTGTATTTATTTTATAATTTTTTATTTATTGATTTAATTATGAATCATTCGGGGTTCCATATAGTTGATCCACCATTCATTTGGGATATCCGATTTTTTGTATTTTTTGATATTGGTTTGCTAGGTTAATCTCCATGTTGATATGAACCTATCCAATGAACTGGCACGTCATCATTACCTCAGACGTAAATTCAATCCACTCTTGAAAGGAATGGGGGTCAGTTCTACTCATATACTAAGAGTTAATCTTGTCAAAATAATCAATAACTGGGTAACCAGTTGAGTGAACTTAAAACATTTGTGGTGCCTGAACAATATGGCAGCTTTGAGTGCAGCTCTGCAATTGTATTGAGTTTATAGCACTGTTGGGGAATACAGTGTATCCTGGCTTCTCTTCATTGGCTTCCTGTTAAATCCAGAATAGAATTTAAAATCCTCCTTCTCACATATAAAGCCTTAAATGGCCAAGCTCCATCTGATATCAGAGATCTGATTGTTCCTTATGTTCCTAACAGAGCACTTCGCTCTCAATCTGCAGGTTTACTAGTGGTTCCTAGAATTTCTAAAAGTAGAATGGGAGGCAGATCTTTTAGTTCTCAGGCTCCTCTCCTGTGGAACCAACTACCAGTTTTAGTCCGTGAGGCAGACACCCTGTCTACTTTTAAGGCTAGGCTTAAAACTTTCCTTTTTGATAAAGCTTCTAGTTAGAGTGGCTCAGGTTATCCTGATCTATCTCTATAGTTCTGCTGCTATAGGCTTAGACTGCTGGAGGACATAGGGACCCCTTTTTCATCATTCTGCTTCATTCTATCTCTATTCTCCCACTCTGCAGAATCTGTTAGTTCAATCTCTAACGTTCTGCTCTCTCTGCTTTTTCTCATAGTAGCTTCATCTGGTCTGTTCCTGTTTGGCTGTGACTCCATCCTGGAGAGAAATATCAGCTGTGCTGCTGCCTAATGAATCTATTTATGAGTAATCTGAGAATAATTTCAGTAGTTCTTCATGTGCTGTAAAAATGAATAATTCTCTGGGGAGAATGTTTCTATGGCAACAGAAACAAAGGTTGCAGAAACTCTCTTTGTGAAATGGAAAACTCAGTTTGCCACTTTTCAGGTTTAGAAAACCGAGTCTGTAAAAAAGAAGTTTTTGAGGAAGAAGAAGAAGTATTTATTTATTTTTTTTTTAGACTTTAGAAACTCAGAAGCTGATCAAATATCGGGTTAAATATCGGTGGGGGGGGGCAATGTCCGATATTCAGTTTTAAGGCCGATACCGATAGGGGGCCGATTATATCGTGCATCCCTAACTAGCAGTAAGCAAACATACTATTTTCTGATGCTTGATGGAGTTTCTGTGAGAAGCTCCTGCACCTCCATGCCAGATGAGGAGCTCCATGATCTAGTGAGGAGCATCACTGTTGGCTGCAGGCTTGTAATGGGAAGACTTCAGCCTTTAGGTCAGCGGATCCAATGGAGCAGAATAAAAGCATCTATGCATCGAGTGGATGGCACAGCGGCTCTTTCTCCACTAACGCAGTCAGGATGTGTTGTGAGAAGAAGTTATTCAGTCAGAGCACCGCTTTCCCTCGTTCATGTGGACACAAACTCATAAGGTAAGTGATTTAATGTGCAGCGCTTTGGAAACCCTTTTCACTTTTCTTTACTCCAGGGCCGTAATTAAACAATTTCATCGATTTAGGTTGGTTACAATTACCAACATTACTTTTGGATATTAGTTAAAACCAAAAACTTTTACAAATTATTGAATTTAATCATGGAAGTATTGTCATGTATTTCAATATCCAGCTTACTTGTGGCTTATCGTTAAATCCTGCATTTTTTAAAGAACATTTTATGTCAGATTTGATCTTTTCCTTTATAGGTTCAACAGTCATATTTGGGGGCATTGATGGCTTTTCCAGAAAGGTAATCTACATTTATTATGGAAAACAAAAAGCTACTCTCATAATCCTAATTTTTCAGTTTCAATGCTATAAAGTCATTGAATTGGAAATAATTTAACTTTTTTATAGGTTATGTATCTAGAAGCTGCCGACAACAAGTTTTTTCTGTCTTCATGTGAGAAAAATGGTTTGCCGTCCAGGTAGCAGATTAAAACTGCAGCTTTACTTAACAAGTCCCTGTGATTTGGCATTTTAATATCAATATTATTAAATACGTACATATTCTATAATTTACTGGGGTCAGAGGTCATCAAGGTGTGGAGGACCTAGATATTGCACAGTTCATGTTTACTGTGTGAGGAACTGATAGAGGAAGCTTCATCTCTGGTAGGATTGTCCACAATCAGAGGTAAACATTCACGTTTTCTAAAGATCAGATGCAGTAATCAGATTACTTTATGGATAAAATTAGATGTGCTCTCATCCTGGTGAGTTTATTGCTTTTACCCACATGCACAAACATTCTGAGGAGACCAGGGAAATGTTTTTAATATTAAGAACAAAGTTTAGTTGATCACCTGATCACGGCTGGACTCAAGAGGACCAAGATCAGCCCAACTGATGCAGCTGATAGAATGCTGCTCTTCCACAAGGTACATTCATCGTAAAATTGACACAATATACTAGTTTTTACTTGGGTTTTGAGAAACAACCTATTATGGAACATGATGTAAAACCAACTGTAATATCTGAACCAAATAAGTCACTAGGAATGTTTTTTCTTTTCTATCATGTGTTTTGCAGTCATGCAGCAGCATAGATGAACGTCTAAAACAAAGAGAGGGAAAGCAGCCATTCATCCTTGCGGTTGGCCGTACCCGTAACAAGATTGACACCTACTATGTTGCCGTGGACAAACAGCTCATTCCATGCCACCATACCAGCTCACTGAGTGCGTTTGATGAACTTTTTAAATGTCACTATGTCTTCAACCTCTGGTATGATGAGTCCCTGGTCCATCTGTACACGTTTGTACAGACTACTGTATTCAACATCGATGTTTCCTCCACGGAAGAGTCACCTCGTGTGCGTGAGTTGCGTGCCAAGATCTTGAATGACAATGTTTAAATGTTTTATCTGCCAAGCCTTGCATACCACCAGTAAGGCCTTAATAAGCCACTTGCGGATAGGACACAGTTTTTACCCAAGCACTAAGTTCAAATTGTCTTGTTCTCAAGACGCCTGTCGGCGTCAGTTCAGTACATATGCAGGTTTGACAAAGCATTTAAATACTGTTCATGGTAATGATTTATGTCACGGTGATGATGCAGAAGAGGGTGGCCTCATTGATGATCTTCAGCTTGAACCTGATTGTGCTTCTTCACAAAATCCTATTGAAGGAAATGAATTTTTGCAAGGTGCTGGGTGTTCTGAAAGCAATGGATCTGGTCAGTGTAGCATTGACGATACGAAAAACATTTGTGCTGCAATTATTTCTAAACTAACTGGTAGTGGTGTGGCAAATAGTGTAGTTTCATCAGTTGTAAGTCATTTAGAAGATTTTGCAGAAGGACTTTATTCTGAGTTTAAGCACAAAGTTTTGTCTGCTATACCGGTTGATAATCCTGTAAGAAATACATTGGGAAAATGTCTTGAAACCTTGAAAACCCTGTTGAGAACTTTAATACTGAAAGTAAAAGAAAGAAGTATTTAAGTGAAAAATGGGGAATGGTGGACCCCGTGGAAAAACTGTTAGGATTCCGCTATGATTCAAGACTCAATAAAGTTACGGGTACTTTTGATCAAGTACCAGTGAAAGACACTTTTGTGTATGTTCCAATTTTGGAAACGATCAAATTTATCTGTCGCAATACTCATATTTGTGGACTGCTTAGCCGCCTTCTGTATCAAGCGAAAACCAGTATGAGGACTTCTGTGATGGAAGTTACTTTAGATCGCATCCATTATTTTCAGAACACCGAACATCCCTGCAAATTCAGTTATTTTACGATGACCTGGAGTCGGCTAATCCACTTGGTTCAAAGCATGGACATCATAAAGTTGGAGCACTGTACTTTGTTCTGAGAAATTTGCCGCCAAAGTTAAATTCTGCACTAATGAATATCCATTTGGTTGCATTGTTTCATACAGATGATGTTAAAAAATACAGCTTTGATCCCATTTTGCAGCCGCTAATTGATGACATCAAAGTGTTGGAGAGTCATGGAATTAGTTTGCCACATTCAGCTGTAAATGTCCGCGGCACAATTTCCCAAATCACAGGCGATAATTTAGGCATGCATGGGATCATGGGTTTTATCGAGTCGTTCAGTGGACGTTACTTTTGTCGTTTGTGTTTGATTGAAAGAAGTGATGCCCAGAATGTTTTCAGTGAGGATGACCCAAAGATTATCTTGCGAGGTAAAGAAATCTTTCAAACTCATTGCAACGAGTTACAGTCAAATCCACAAAAGTTGCATGTGTGTGGTTTAAAAAGGAATTCAACTTTAAACAGCTTACAGTTCTTTCACGTTTCCCAGAACTTTTCTTTAGACATAATGCACGACATTCTTGAAGGGGTTGGACAGGATGAAATCAAGTTGCTATTAGAATACATGTCAGAAAACTTTTTGTCAAAACCTGATCTTCTGTCTCGAATCTATGCTTTTGACTATGGGTACTTGGAGCGGAAAAATCGTCCAACAAGGGTCAACTTGGATAGTGGTAACAATACAATAGGATTGAACTGGATTCAGACTCTATGTCTGATTAGAAATATTCCCTTGATTTTTGGTGACATTGTGCCGAAAGGTGATCAGAATTGGTCTTTGCTGTTGCTTCTACTACAAATCATTAACATAATTTTCTCTCCATCGTTAACAATGGGCATGACGGTGTATTTAAAACATTTAATAATGGAACACCATGCCTTGTTCAGACAGCTTTATCCAAATAGAAATATGATCCCAAAACACCATTATATGTTACATTATCCGAGTTGTATCAGAAGAATTGGACCCTTGATTCACATGTGGAGCATGAGATTCGAAGCAAAACACAGGGTGTTCAAAAACACGCTGAAAAACTTTAAGAACATCACAGTGTCACCTGCCAAAAAACACCAGATGTTGATCGCTTACAATTGGGAGACATCCCCTTTAAACCACATAGAGTATGGTCCCCTGAAAGCATTTGATCCAGATAATGATCATGACCATTTACCCCAACTTGTTCCTTTTGTGCAAGAAGATACTTTTTCAACTAACTGGGTTAAGATTTGTGGGACAGAGTATAGAGTTGGATTGGTTGTATCTAGTGGCACTGACCATGATTTTCCTTTGTTTTATAGGATAAAAGTGATTCTTAAGCTTAAGAATGATGTCCATTTCATTGCCAATAAGCTTGATATTGAATACTTCAGTGAACATTTTCATGCGTATAAAGTGTGTGAATCGGATGAGAAAGTTGTAATCAATGCAAATGTTGTGGAAACGTATAGGCCTTTTGACCTGCAGAGCAGTTATAGCACCGATGATGATTGTCTTTTCATTGTACCATTATTTTTGTACGTTTTGTGATGTCATTTGCAACTGTCATTTGTAACTGTTTTTGGTGCTTGGTGTATTAAAAACTATAAGTTTTTTGTATAAGACGTTTTGTATAAGACGACTTAATTAACACTAGTAGAACAGTGAGATGGGTGTATTTCATGTATGTAAATGTGCCCTGCACACTGCTGCACACAGTCCAGATGAACATTTAGTTTTAGAAAAAGCAGTATTTATTGTACAAAATAACACTAATTAGTGTTACATGGTAACCCCTATAGTGAGTTAAGCTAAGCCAATTCAACACTCAAATGTGTTAAAAATATAACACTTTAGGTGTCAAGATGTTACACTTAAAGTGAAGTTTTAACACTAATTGGTGAGGAATCAGCACTCAAATGTGTTAAAAAGTGTTAAGATGTTACCCTTTGAGTTAAAAGTATAACTGATCGGTGTAAAAAAATACATAAAAATAGTCAAATGTAACACTATTGGTGTTAAAGTAGTAACACTGAAATAGAGTTAAACTATCAACACTATGCATAGTGTTGATTTAACTCGGAACCAGTGAGAATTATATAAACTCAGGAAAAGTGTTTCCCCCC